ATGCGTTTTGTACTGCTGTTACACAGCACAAAACGCATAAAAACGCATATTGACGAGAGGTTGTCTATGTGTCCGTGTGTCTGTGTTTGCGTCTCAGGATTTCATCTCAGAACCTATAAAAACTTCGGGGCTGAAAATTTTCGTGGACTTAATCTACATGCACGTTCCGCCCCCAATCCCCAAAATGGGCGCCAAAACCCGCGTGATACCCGCGTACGGACCCGCTAAAGTTTTTTTGGGGTCAGTTCATAACTCGAGGATCTGAGAAGCTAGAACGCTGAAATTTTGGATTAATGTTCCCCGCCCAGCGGGTATTAGTGGGCTCAAAACCAGCCCCCGGGTAAGCGTGGTACTCGCGTACGAGTCTGCCAAAATTTCTTCGGGTAAGTTCATAACTCGGGAATCTGAGAAGCTAGAAAGCTGAAATCTTAGGGGAATGTTCCCCGCCCAAGCGGGTATTACTGAGCTCAAACCAGTTAAGCGTGGTACTTACTTACATACATGCCCGCCAGAATTTTTTTCGTGTAAATTGACAACTCAAGTACTTGGGAAGCTAAAGGAATTTAATTTTAAGAGGATATATCCCGTCTACCTAAGTTTCATCTAGCTCGAACCCAGCTGTCAGGTATGTTTGGTAAACATGCACAGGCCCGTGAAAGTTTTATTCCAGTAAGTTGCTGACTCATGTATCAGGGAAGTAGAAAAGCAAGGGGATGTTTTCTGACAGTTCTGGCGGCCAGTCTTAATTTGTTTAGCTAGAAGCATTTGCCGAACAAACCGGTGCCGGTAGCAACAAAAACTGCGGGGAACCATGCAAAAAACGCATTTTCGCACGGGCACCCCGTGCGCTGGCCAATTATTTTTTCTTGTTTTCAGTGTCTGCTAAATCATCTTGTGCTTCTTAAGTAGAGACATATTTTTAAAGTTTGAATTGCAGAATGCGAATTCATCGATTGAGCAACTTGCGGAAGAGGTTGCGCAACGAAATCCTGTATTCTCGCAGCATTCTCTGTCGCTCTATGATGTAAATGACTCGCTGTGCAAAATAACTGAACCTGAACTGAGTGAGTGTTCCCACACTTATCGATAAAATCTGTGTTTCAGCAGCTCATACTACTGCTGCACGTTTGCCTGCTTTATTACAGCGAGGGCAAATTTGGAGAAGTGAAATGAAAAAAAAAAGTCAACTGTATTGGTGAGGCAGCGAGGCAACTAATTTAACGCATCGAGTTGATTTTTGTCGTAGACCTCGCCTCAGTCCATGCTCATTCGGGACATTTTTGGAGAAATCTTATTTTGGGTAAAC